GGCGCAACTCTATGGAAAATTGATTCAGAAGCCGGCTCGTTGTCGGCAGTGGCTAGTTTTAGATCATCGGAAGATGCCACGAAAAAGTGCTCATCGTTCGAGTTCAACCCGAATGGTCAGAAAGCAGCCATAGTTACCGAACGAACAGTGAATTTTGTGGATGTTGAGAAATCACTGCAGGTGAGAGCCATCCATCCAATAAATCAATGAATATGGTTGTTCAGCTTATGATTTCCTGAGAATTTGTCCTCTGTGTGCTCTACTTTACAATATTATTCAGTTCTCAGCAATGATATGCTCAAGGAGTGTACATGCATCGAAATTAGTTCAGAAAGGTTGTTGTATTCGAGGTGAACTTGTTGCATATTTTGAAATGAACATTCATTTCTGAAGACTGCATGAACAGAGCAGCTGCTGATTTATGAGCTGACTTTGATAGCGCAGTTGTAATGAGGAGCAAAATTTAAGGTAACTGAAACCTTCCCAATAGACGCTAAAGGAAACCTGAACGCAATCGGATGGAATCCTCATTCTGCTGGTACAACACTGGCGGTTTCTTATGATGGAGGCGTAAGAGCCATCGATACGCGATCACTGGAGTTCGTTTGCTACTATATCTGATAATTTGAAGAAAAGATTTTCATAAACTAATCGAACTTCATGAATGTAAATCATCACTCGTTCAGTGATCAGTTTCACATTGTGAATGCGAATCCTCCGACGTGTCGAAGTTTGGATTTCAATCCAAATATGCAATATATGCTGGCCACATGTGGTGATGACTGTAGAGTGGCGCTATGGGATACGCGAAGCGTTAAGGAACCAGTGAAAACACTCAATGATCACTCACATTGGTACGATTCGTTTACAAATTTGTTCAATCTTATTCTTTACTGACATTCGTGTGGAAATAATCCGATCGAACATTATTATTTTGCAATTTATTTTGATGGTCGACTATTCTCACCGTTATTTTCAAGCATATCTTTGGAAACATCTACATTTCAGTGTTGTTCATTTTGAAGGGGTTTACTTTTAAAGCATTTTAAGTTGATTTCAACGCCTGAAATTTCATACTTTGGAACCTTTCACTATTCCCATTACATGCATAGTTTTGAACAAATTCTAGTATCGATCTTCTAGTTGTAGTAAGTAGAATGATAGGGATGTTTTTTATAGGGTATGGTGTGTACGATTCAATCCGATTCACGATCAGCTGATTCTGTCTGGTGGAAGCGATGCTCGACTGTTCTTGAACAGTGTCGCGTCGCTCAGTTCAGATGCTTTGCAATCTGCNGAAGCCGATATCAGCATTGAGGATGCCATCAATAGTGAACCGATGACCAAAAAGTTCGTTTCTGTTTCGTTTTCATTTTGATTCTTCACCTGTAATATTCATTTGTAAAATCTAATCTTCTCAATTGTTATGATTTGCAGCGAAAGTGTTGAGAAAGTTTTGAGTTAATCTCTGTGAAATGTTTTGAAGCTTGAATCGTAACCTAAAATTAGCTGAACAACGGATTATCTTGACAAAGTTTTTCCAGTAGAGATGATCAAGCGAATGAATTTAATGAATAATATATTGAATCGAGTAAAGCAACGGATTTATCTTCACGAATGACTGAATTCATTTTGAAAAAATAAAAAATAAAAAAAGGAAAAACAATCACATCACATGTACAGAAAAGTACTTCAATTGTAGACAATGTTTTTGGAGGTTAAAACATTAAACTGAATATGTTCTGTGGAATAAAACGATAAAATCATATGTGGTTATTGATATACGGTACAGTGAAACATTTGGAAGCAATAGAAAGTTTTAGATCAGTGAATAAATACATCGATAAATATACAATACAGCCGTATCGAGCAATTCAATGCGAGAAATCACACACACACTATGCTCTCATCAAATTAAATTTCGAGAATTTCATTTAAGATTAAGTGATGAACGATTGGAGAAAGTCGAAGAACACGAGGATTCGGTTTACGCATGTGCCTGGGCTGCCAACGACCCATGGATTTTTGCATCACTATCGTTTGATGGACGTGTGATTATATCACGAGTGAAACGACATCATAAATATGCCATACTTCGTTTATAGAAATTTTTTTGGTGGGTAAAATCACCTCTCAAACTTTTGAGTTTGAGAGGTGATTTTTTTAGGTTATTGACTTTTTGTTTTTTGAGTTTCATTCTTCTTATTAATCGGAAATTTTTTAAACTAAAAACAAAGACTCTTGTTTCAAAGAATACCTTTTTGGATACTTCAAATTTCTGAGAAAATTCTTTCTTTTTCTTGAATCATCGCAAATTGTAGGAATCGAATGCAACCGCTCAAGGATCATGAAGGAATCTTGTAAATGCGTTATATGCCGTCTCCAGTTCGAATGTCATTTGTCGGGCCACTTCGTCGCTGATCTCCTCACTTGCAGACATCTTTTTCAAGCGATCATGCCTGAAACGGCGAACATCCAGTCGAGATTTTGACTGTTCGGTGAAAATCTATCCGTATTAATGTACATGAATTTTCTGGATTATATGATTACTATGTCTGTATTGACGAATATAATGGGATTGTTAAGTGCTGTGATAATATTTATTAATTTCCCATTGTTGTTTTATTATTTATTGTTGTTGTATTGTTATTATTGATCTTCTCGTTTTGATTCATAAACACATTACTTGCCATCCTTCTCTTAAAAAATCGTATCAGCAAACTGAACTTAAAACGAAACATTTGCGATCGGCATGTTGGAAGGCAAAAGGCAAAAGTATGGTGAGGCTGTCTGATAAAAAAGAAATGAACGCGAAAGAAACGAAAATGGCATGGTGGAAATTTTAGTTTGTCGCAGATTTATTTGTGTATTAAGGCAGATTGTTGAAACCGACTGACCATGCTTTCACTTTAACTTTGGAGTCGAAATTGTCCGGAAGAGAGCTCATCGATGATATGGAGACGTTCAGTTCGTTCAACGTTGGATAAAGCTCGTCCACTGCGCGCACATGCAGTTTGAGTTGATCCAAGAATGTGATGAACATTTCCACGATATCGGCAATGCATTTCAGTGTGTTGCCTTTATCGTTTTTCAGCGTCACGGGACGGTCTTGACGAATTCGTTCCAAAGCTGCCGGACATTCCACACGATATTTGCGCACAAAGTCATCGATATCGTTGCATTGTACGAGGCGAAGAGCAACCTTAAACTCATTTTATTGTGCTACACGAGTTTCGATGGAAAACGATTGAATTTCGGACGCTTTCAGGGAAAATTTCATCTCGAAATGGAACATTTCTACTGGAGAAAAAGGAGTTGGTTCGAAAGATGAATGACATTCGAGAGAACAATAAGTAAAATGAATCTTCAACGGAAATTCAAAGGATCTCACCTTGTATTGAACCAGAAGTTTCGAGCATTCGGCAGTGTACTCTTTTGGTGATATACAATCGCGGCTCAACATTTTCTCAAGACATTCCAACGCAATAAGAACCGCATAAAGCTCACTCATATTATCCAGTCGTTCTCGTTCAGCGCTATTCTCATATAAACGCACTTCTTGCAGAAACTCTGGATTAATCTCTTCGCCCAACATATCTATCTATCTCTTCCGATCCTGAAAACGAATATTATGAAAATGTTCACAGCACACAGTAAGCCGATTAGGAAAACATATGGAAATATTCAATGTGTTCGAAAAATGGAAAATGAAGAACGGAGAATCACAGCAGGACTGTTGAACTGCTGCTCCTGGGCCAAGATTTACTTGGTCGGACCATGTCAAGG